CCAAACTGTTACAAAATTAAAACCCCCCAACAATTAAGGGTTAAACACCCACCTTAACTCTGGTCTCACATTTCTATAAATTTTACAATACTGTGTAGAAACCACCAAGCACATCCTTGCTATACAGATGAACTGCAGGAGCAACTCTTCCCATGCTCCCCCTTCCTGCCCATACTTAGTATAAAAGTTTTCTAACAATCCTCTTGTTACGCTGGGTGAAAAAAAAAAAAAAAAACAAAACAACAAAATGTGTGTTTTCTTAGCTGAAAATGACTAACTTTGGTTAAAATACAATTAGCAGATAGAGATCCATTCTGGAATCTCCGTTGGGTCTGTCTGAAGCAGCAAACCCTAGCTGCCTTGTCTTCATTGCTATTTTAACCTGGGCCAACCCACCCGCATTTAGAGACAACCTTTATTTGCAATATAAACAATACCCATGTCACAATGGATCAAGGGCAGATCTGTGGGATTTCATACGGGAAAAGACAACTGCGTTTGCCAGCCACTGGTTCCTAATAACCACCTGTCTTCTATTAGTGTCCTAAACAAGGAGGTGGGATAAGGCTGGGGGGGTCTAATGACTGACCAGAGAAAAGGAGCTGAAGGGAAGGTGGAGCCTGGTTACGTGAGCTCTCTGCTCAGCAGGGAGGCCCCTGTGTGCTAGAGACAGAGGGAGGCTCCACTCTTTCATCTACATGAAGAGAAACCAGAAGTAAAGGTCCCTTTCAGGAGGGATAAGGGGTCTCCTAGAGAGAGCATTTAACCAACAGATTGGGAGGGAGAGGACATCAGAACACGGAGGGGGTCAGTGCAATGACTTGCTTCTCAAACACAGTGAACAATCTTGTGCTTAATTTAAATAAAAGTGATGAGTTGTAAGAGTGCTGAAAATGGCAAATAAATTCTAGGAAATTGCATATAAAGAGGAATTGTTGTTATTAAATCATTTAAGATGGATGTGTTTCAAATCTAGCTCACAGTCAAAACTGTTTTACAGCGATAGCTGTGGAGTTTCAACAAAACTGCAGAATTGCAATGTATGTGCCAGGGATTTATTTTAAAGATTGTAGGGTAGTTACATCAATGAACCTCAATTGACTCAACGTGGTGTTGTGATCTGAAATCTGTAGTGATTTCCATTGCAGTTACGTATGCAAGAACCAACAGCATGTGTGTATTTGTGTGCATATATGCAAACACATGAGACCGGGAAATGGCACACACGTGCGGGCTTATTCCCCAGCTCCACAGGCAGGCTTTCTACAGGCTGCTCCTACAGGACAACGATACAGTTTCTTAACATTAGCATCATGGTATTTCTTTTCACTTCTCCCCAGAGGTCTCTTGTTTCCTCTGATCTGCCTCCTGTCTTTATGAGAAAGGAAAGACTATACTGCCCAGCACACTCCTGGTACTTGATCTCACTCCAAGCTTTGGGTGCTAATCCCACCACCTCTGTATCGCCTGTCTCTCCTCTTGGTGCATGTGTTTTTGCATGTGTGTGTATGTACCGACGTGCACATCTGCTAGTGACAACCCTACACTGGCTGCTTTCCCCAACCTACTCTGTACAAGAAGGGAACAGGACTCTGGCCCATAGCTGGCTTCATAGCCCAGCTGCCAACAGCAGCTCCCACTTTTTTTCTCCAGAAACTATGTATTGCATTTCTACTTTAAACACATCTCTACATTAACAGTCAGTCTAACAGTTCAAACACCCTAGTTCCCAGGTGCTCCTGTTCTCCTCGTTATGGGAGAAATTTCTCTGCTGGAATTTGGCTACTGAAGCACTGAGAGATGGAAAAAAAATCAAAATCTGGCTTTTTTCTTTGCCCACTTTCAGCAGATAGCTGGAACATTTCAAAAAATTAATCCCAAGCATAAACAAAGACCGCTTCTGAAAATACTGGTTCTAAACTGCTGGCATCAAACTTCTCAAGTAGCCTCAATGGTTTTAGAAATGCTCGTTGACACAGATATGGCTCTTAAATCCTCAGCTCTGGAGAGTAGAGCATGTGCTCACACTCACTTGATGGCCTCAACAATTCTCCTTGACTTTGGGGATAAGTCGCACAGCAGAATTCTCTTTTTGGTCCATGGGAAGAACCGCATGCTGTTATGAACACAAAAATTATAAACATTTCTGTTTCTCGAAAGATCTCTAATTTTTCCATAATGTTTCAACGGAATAATGGCCACAAACCCTAGCAGCAATTATAGAAATGTGTTTTGTATTATTTATTTAACGCATAAGCACAAGGTTTTTAATGAACAGAAAGTGATGATGCACTGGCAGGACAATGGGGAAAATGAAGGAAAGGATATTGAAAGCTTTGAGCACTGCTCTCCTCTCTGCTACCTCGCTCTCTGTCTTTCTCACACATTTGCCCTCTCTGCCCATGGTTCCACTGTGGAAGCCATATGGCTTCCAACTCTTCTAAGTAGCCACTGAGAATTGTCTATAGTGGAATACTGCCAAAGTCCTTCCTGGTTTAATGACATGGGGAAGAGCGCTGTGCAGTGCTCACCCAGCACAGAGACTCACTGCGTCCTTGATTATGATTCTGGAGCCAGCAAGTGATGCTGGGAATTGAACCATCAGTGCCTCAAATACAGAAGTCGACATGTGCCAACCCCTGCTGCATTCAGTCTCTGTGCGTGGCATATTAATGAGTCCTGAACTTGAGGTCCAACCTTCAAGCTTGCACAGAAGGAATTACCCAAAGACAAAAAAAAAAGAAAAAGAAAAAGAAAAAAAAAGAGGTCCCCTTTGTCCTGTTTCTCTCTAACCTTGCATAGTGACACTAGTTTCTTCACTGAATTTGTTCAGTTCTTAAGCAGTAACTCTTCTTTTAGGCCATCACGCCATACCTCTGCATACATAACCACAGTCTCCCTTGATTTAAAGATTTGAAAAAATAGCTTGAGAAGATACTAAGAACAAACACATTAAGTCAAGAGGGTATATGAAGGGACAGATGACTCAGTGCTAGCCCTCGCTCTCCTATCCTATCCATAAATACCTGGTAAATGTTGGAATCAGGATATGGAGCTAGATGCAGCTTTCTTCTCCCTGCTTTTATGTCTCCTGACACTAGATAGCAAGAATAATGTTGTCTGCGTGATAACAGTCTCATTCTAAACAGGAAAAAAGAGGCTGCTCAGCCTGATGGCTGCATTCCCATGCCAGCACAAAAGAGCATTGTGGGGACCCCTTCAGTGCCATGGGTGTCAGAAAGGGAGTCCAGTGCCTGTGGAAGTTGGTGATGCGGTACAAACCCCAGTTGCCTAACCCAATTTAGAATTGCTCAGTCTATTTTACTTGAATTTCCTGATCTAGAGGTAAGTCATGTCCATCATCTAGTCAGCTGGAACACTGGGTTCAGGGAAGTTTTGCAACGTTTCTTTTGGGCCTCCCAAATGCCTGGTGCATAGTGAAGGCTGGTCTCTTATAGTCTGAGAAACAACTTTTCTCAACAAGCACATTTGGCAGCAGAGGCATGATACAGACGGAAGGGCTCCTACAAAGGATGCTCTCTTTCTTTGGAAAGGGTTGCACCTCTGGAGGGAAGTTTGACAGCCTATGAAAGCTGTGTTCCTGCTGCAAATCTGTCCAAAAGTCAGAGAAAGGGACAGCTTGTAGAGGGTGAACAGAGCCAATGTAAAATGTAACGCTGCAGGAGAGCATGTTCCTCTGGTGGTAAGCGAGAAGGACAACATATCATCGACCTCAAAACCACAGTCTACAGCCTTCCTAGGCAAAGATAAAAGACTTAACAAGCCTGTAAAAAAATCACATACTGCACTTTATTTCTGCCAAGAAATAAACCACAGCAAGTTATACTGTTCATGAAATCTTCTCACCTTTGAAATGCTTTAGAAATTTAACTAATCAAAGCCCACAGCAATCCCTGATGAAAGCCTCCTGACAGCTCAGGAAGCTACAGAAAAAGGTCACAAGATTTACCCCGTCACACAGGCTAAGCTGGATGTGCATTATTTGAGGGATCTGGTCTAAGGCATCAAAGCCCAATTTGTTCTATGTCTCAGGTCTGCAAATTCACATCTTCCTTTCCGTAAGTCAAAGGCATTGTTCTCCAAGTACACACACTTTGCTTATCTGACTCCTCAACTCACTCACTATCAGCCATGATGCTAGAACAGATAAAACACTGGTCACATACAGTGACTCCAGCTCACGCATGCTCAGTGTTCCTGTGGCAAAGACCAACACTTTTTCAAATACCTCACCTTCTTCTCCAGTATATCACAAAACTCCCTGGACGTTCTCACCAGAGAAAGTACAGTATGGCAAGGTAGCAAGAACAGATGTGAGTGCAGACCCACAGTGTTTTCACGGTACAAGAACGCCTATGTGAACTACTCCATTTCCTCCTCAACTCCTACTTTACAGAAATCAACAACAAAAAAAAATCCCACTAATTTTGATGGGTGGGAGAAGAATGAACATCAAATTACTTCACTACACATTGCTCTAATTATTTGAGCAATCCTGAAATAAAGCAGTATATAATAATTATTATTTCAAACCAAGACATGGTGCAGCAGCAGTGGACATACATTCCCTGAAGCTCCAAGTAACTTGATTTTATCAGTGGTGAAGTTCTCAAAATTATAATGACATGTACTACTGTGATACCAAAATTGAGAAGTGTCATTCTTCTATGAATAAGCTGCTCAGGTTCCAAAATACCAACCAAAAATGTGTTCTTTGTTAAGTATTTCAGAACACAGAGTAAGATTTGCTTTTAAGGCAAGAGCTGTTTGAGTTAGCTGTGGCTCAGAAAGTCAGAGAAGTCTCATAAGCCTACAATAAAAGTTGTTGATTGGTCTTTATTGGTCATGCCTCTGTTTCAGCTTATCTGGGTTGGGTACCAAGCCAGGGCCATTACATTTACAGAGTCTTGCCCTTTCGGACAAAAACATGCAGCAACCACCTTTATCATATTTAATAAAACAATAAACTTTGTGCTGACCTTTGGCAAGCGTTCAGGGTCACCAGGGTGCCGGGGGATAACCTTCTGTAACCTTTGGAAACCATAGTCAATGGTGGGTTCGTTCAGAGCTGAAACAACAACAAACAACATGGTGATGTGATAAATGCATAGCAAGCAGGCTCTGTTGCACTCTAACAATTGGCAATGCATTGCGAGACCAAGGAAGGATCACAGCAAAATCCCCTTTTACTGAAACCAGCACTGACTATGAAGTCTTGGTTCAAATGCTATTTGTGGTTGGCTTTGACTCTTTGCTTCAAACAACAATGCAAATCTTCCCACTTGAGTTCCTAAAACAAGGTTGCTGGAAAGTTTGGGGATGTTACATACATCTTTCAAATAGGAAGCAATTATTACCTCTGAAAGCTGCAATGAAATTAATTTGGTAACCACTTTGCACCCCATACTTCAGGTTGGTTTCCTTGCTTTCATATTATGAGGAAGGACCTTTGTGATTGGAAGGCAAAAGAAGTAACTATTAGGCAGTCTTTCTTGTTCCAGATTCTATGGAACTAGGTTCCAGTCTATGTGTTTAATATGCTCCATGTGCAATGATCACATATAAGTTTTTTGTGAACTACAGGCATTTGTCTTGGCAGAGGCTTCATTTTTTGCTCATCGACACTGACTTCAGTAGCCCAGCTCAGGTTCCCATCCGCACTTAACTGATCCAAAAGACTTAATGAATTTAAAAAAACCAAAATCATCTATGCTTTTAGTTCATCTTTTCCCAGTCGTTGTCCAGTAAAATGGAGGAGAGAAGTAGTGGAAGTGGAATACTTTAATCTTCATGAAAATGTTGGTCTGCCTGCATTAATCGAACCTCTGATTGTGCCAAGCCTTTAAGCACATGCTTATCTGTAAGCACATACTTAAACTCATTTGCTTTCAGGAAAGCAAATTTGAGCATATTATGTTTTTTGTATGATTGCCTATAATTACGGGGGACTGTACTGAATGACCTTCTAGCTACATTTCCAGTCATATGATCACTTTAAAACTCAGATGTTAGTGAGACTTCAACATGTGCTTAAAATTTCCTAAGTGCTTTGGTGAACTGGAACAACAGTCAAGCATTCTCAAGCATCTCTAAACAACAGCACATCTTGACTCTCCTACGCCAACAGAGATGATGAAATTTTGCACAGCAATTTGCTAGCAATTTTTTTGAGTTGAATGAAAACAAAAATTTCCAATATGGATTTTTATATTTTCAGCCTTTTTTTTGATGGGAAGGAAATTTTTTTTTTTTCCCGTTTTTGGGTCACTTGAAATTTTTCTTATTTTGTCTTAGCTTATTAATAGCAAAATAATTATTTTTTGCACAAGGTCTGCCTATTAAATTATGAATATATCACTCACCTTGATGATGGTTTTATTGTGAACTTTATTATGTAGCTAAAATGATGCCATCTGCTTCTTGGAAAGATATTTAGCATCAAACTATAAGTCCCAGTCTCACTTGTGTGAGCGCTCTCATGTGGCTCAATAATGCTTATCCCAGAGCAAGTTAAACAACTCCATCAGTCTGATCAACATGGCACAATTTGTCCATACTTCCACCTTTTAAGTGAAGAGAACATTTTTTCATACTCCTAACATCAAAGATCTTAGCCAGACCACATAATTATCATGAAAGTAACATCTAATCCCTGGTTTGTTTTTAATTAATTGCTGTTCCATAAACAATCACACAGTCAGTTTTTAAAGAAACTGTTCCACTGAAATTATTATTTTCAAACCACATTTCTAGAGCAGATGGTCCTACTGGCAACCAAAGGGTCAGATTTTTATATCCTACTGGACGTACAGTACATTTGAACTCGGTAAGTAGGCGCAGCGATGCTACTGCAAAGGCAGAAGGGAGGTGGTGTCGGGGAATCCAGATCTACCTAACAGCAGTGAAACAGAAGTGTGGGGCTGGTGGGGGCTGGCCGGAAAGGCACACAGTCCTGCAGAAGCTCAAGATTTCTCTAATAGCAGAAAGGGATCTTCTGAGCATATCCTTAAATTACTGTTGCAGTATTATGGTAGCACCAGACTAGAAATCTGTCAGGATTTTACTTTCTGGACTATTGTCAGAAGTTTTTTATTGCCCCAGAGATCATGGCATCCCTATAGTCTCCTGGGTTTTTTTCATGTATTCCCCTTTATCAGGAATATCTGAATTAAATCTTTTATTTATATTCAGGTAATTGTACGGAAAGAGTGCGAATAAGGCAAATTATTCCCCTGCTTGTGTCACTTTTGGTTGTTGGATGGTTGGGCCTTTTTTCCACGGTTCCTTTCACACCCTGGCCACATGCTGTCCACTCTGTTGGGTACTTTTGCAGAAAATAACACAGTACCTGGCTTTGTAACCCACTGGTTTCATTAACTTTGAGTTTCCTTACATGGCTTCTTATCATGGACCCATTTAGTTTAGATCTTCAAATTTTACAATAAATTAATTTACTGCTATTTATATTTATTATCAAAAATAGCTGTTCTCTGAGAAGATTAAAAAAACCCACCTTAGAGTTCTAATTTACATTTCTTTTGCAAATATGTTAGAAGATTTTAGCGTGGTTTGTCAAATGTGTTTCTTCTCTAATTCAGTCTAGTTTATGGCCATTTTCCCTTTACATCCTTTGGGAAAGTAGTTACTAAATTCTGCAATATTATAAATGGAGGCCAGTTCTGAAATCCCCCTAGAGATAGCAGTCATTTTCTCATATCTTCCCACACATTCAACACATTTGAAATCCACAGAGTATTTCCTGTGAGTATTTTCTGAACTAAATGACCAAAAAAAATGTTAATTTTATGGTCCAATCTCACAAGGCATCAAGCATCCTCTGAGAGATACTGAAAACTTTCTGCTTCAAATAGCTTCAGCTTTACTTTAGTGGTGGGGAGAGGCTGCACACAGCAATTTGCATGATTGGGTCCTAAACTGTAGTTGTCCAATATCACTCATTAGTCTAGAACTATTGAACCCTTTCAATCTTAGATAAAATGAAAAAAAGAAATCTTTAGCCGCCAGAACATCTAACCACAGATTGGACAATATCAGCCCTCCATTCCTCAATTCATTTATAATTCAAGTCAAATGTAATTAGTCATATCTCAAAGAAAGAGCCCTGTTTAAATATTTACCCCCCTTCAGTGTTAAGGCCACACCAGTTTCTGTGTCAGCAGCTGGCAAAACTCCAAAGAAAAGGTGATACTCTGATCTCTAAGCATTGCAGAAGTCAGTGCTCAGGCCACTGTTAGTGGCAGATAACGTACAAGGTCTGATACCAGCTTCACACAAGGTTTTGCCTCTGTCCCCTGTGCATGCGAGCCTGGTCTCTGCCTTCGAAGTCCATTCACAATAATGCATTTCCCAGTGCTCTAATTCAGAGAACATTTTTTTTTTTTCTCCCCATGATCGGGAAAAAAGAATCAATAAGAAATACAAACTCTCTATTTGTGTTCTTGACATCCATACATTAAAAACAAGCTAACACACACTGTACTTAAAATGCATTCCCATTACCCTAAATTTTAAAAGTACTATTGAAAGTACTACTAACTTTAAAAAACTGTACTAAATTCAAATAGGTCCCAAGGCTAATGGAAGCAATTTGTATACCAACCCAAACTGACTGGCCCACTTTTCAAAATACAGGTATGATAATCTTGCGGTTTTAAAAGGACATTTAAATTGAAAGACTGTGAATTTAGTACATAATTATACCAATAGAACCCTTTAACTTGTCAACTTGTAAATCTAAAAGGCTATCAATCATTTCTAAAGAGGAAATAAACCTTAAAATTCTTTGATTGACAGTGCTTACTTTTTATGTGGAAAAAAAAAAGGAGTAAAGTGGCCAGAAATCCATTTACAAAAGTACATTGTTTTACATAGGTGAGTAAAAAGCCAATAATTACACCTCCAAAAGACATATAAATCAAAGTAAGTACTTTTCCCTCACTTACATATTTTAAGTTGCAGTAAACTTCAGGTAACTTTTTATTAAAATACTTTTCCAAATGCAAAGCTTATTGAAGCCATTAATAGAGTAGCATTTTCATTTAAGCTAATATAATCATTTTTGCAAATACAAGATTTAAGCCATTTTTCTCCTTCCAAACAATAAACTTTCAGCCTGTCTCTTGTGTGAATTAACTAAAATTACACCCAGGTGTACAAAATCTGTCTATCTATCCTAGTGTATGAGTTAAGGCACAATATTTATTATTCTTACCATTTTATGAATTACTTCTTAAACCCTTGAGGAAGAACTTTCTTTCAAATTAGACTCTAACAGAATAAGCCATGAAGCTCTTTATGCAGCAAGTCTAAAGCCATAACTCCTAAAATCTAAGGCTTTTAATCAAGAAAATGCACAATGTCTATGGAAATAAGGATGCGTACATTATATTCATCTTTTCAAAGTCTAACTTATTTTTCAACAGAAATGCTGCTTATGCCTTTGAGAAAAATGTTTCTACCGTACATATAATTTCAAATTCTGCACGAATAATTTTAATAACTACATGTAGATAATCCACCATCTTTAAACATCTTTTTTTTTTTTTTTTTTTTTTAACTAGTCAGTGGAGGGCTTTTTTTAATATTTCACATAATGAATTCCTACTGTGTCAATAAAGCTTTTGTCACTAATTGAATGACTGTCTGATGTATCTGGGAGAGGAATTTGTGTCTCTGACCACGTCGCCAACTTACAGCAGAATGATCGACACTTAATATCAGCAATTAGAAGGACCTGTTCAAATATCATATGGAATTCGTAGCTTGGGGTAGTGTAGGAAAACTCTTCACCAAGGAAAACTCATTCAGCGAATGCAGAAGTAATTGAATTAGACACATTTTAACATTATTATTCAAAGAAAAATAAACACACACTACATGGAAGCATTATGGAAATATTTCAGAACTTAAAACATATCCAGTTAATTTGTTTCCCATGCATTCATGGTTTCATTTATTCCTTTTATTTTTCAGCCCTTGTTTCTTTTTCATTCTGTTTGACCCAAAACCAATAAGAAAGCAGCATTTAGACCTATGAACTTCCCATAT